TTCCACCCAGGATCTCCCTCTCTCGCCCCATCCTTCAGTTGACTCCCAGTTTGTGGAGGACATCAACTGAGCAAAAGGCAACGTAACTCAAGAGCTCAATGTTATGGGTCTCCATTATAAAGGCCCGAAGAAAGGCCTTCATGACTTTTTGAAACAAGATTCTCGGTCTGACTCCAAGGTCTCAGGCAAAGGCCGAAGGGAGATCGCAATGCTTGCATTCGAAATCAACTATGATCAGCTACCTCATGGCCACTCCCTAGCTCCTCAACCGGAAGCCGAAGCTCCCGTGGACAAAGATACGGGGTCTGGGCCACCAGACTAAGCAGGATGTTGTTTGTGATTTCTGCAGCTGGTTTCGCCCCTCTATTTTATTGCTATCAGAGACCAAACTGCCCTTCCGACCAGCGTTCAACAAGTATGGGGCCAAAGGCCTTGTCAGTAGGTCGCCCTCCTGGTCGAGTGGGACCAGGAGGCATTTGGATCTTATGGAACCCATCTCTCCACTCTCTCTCTTGGTTCCATTTGGCTACCCACTCTGACTTTGGGCCTCACTAGGGTTTCAAATAGCCTCCCCTAGAAATTTTTTGCTGTGAATGGCCCAAATAATGAAAAGCTAAGGGTCCAGTTTTAAAGAGAATTGGATCACGTTGCATCTCTCTCCCCATCAAGGTGGTGCCTTGGGGGTGATTTTAATATCAAGAGGTGATTATTCGAGCACAATTCTCACTCAAGGATTTCCCAAGGCATGCTCCTCTTCTCAGATTTCATCTCAAGACATAGCCTCGTCGACGTCTCATTGGAAGGGGCTCGCTTCACCTAGTCCAACCACTCCCTATTCCCCTCTCTTTTAAACTAGATTGATTCCTCCTTAGCCCCAATCGAGATTCTACCTCTCTGGTCTCCCATGCCTCTACACTCCCCAAACCCATGTCTGACCACTGCCCTATTCTCCTAAATATCCAACCTGTGCCGCAAGGCTCATAACCTTTTAGGTTTGAACTCTCTTGGCTTGACGAGCCAAATTCTCCCTCCTAATTCCCAGTGGTGGTCCTCTTTCGACCGTAGTGTATTGGGAAGGGCAGGCTATTGTCTTCAACGAAAAATTCAGATGCTTAAAGTCTCTCTAACGGATTGGAGCGAGCACCTTCTGTGAATTGGATGAACTAGAGGAATAGAACCCTATTTGATGAAGAATCCCAGCAGCATGTTCAACTGAAAATTGACTACCAATAGCTCCTTAAATGAGAAGAAACCTACTAGTTTCAACATTCTCGAGTTAAGCAGCTTAAAGCTCAGGGACCTAAATACTGCTTTCTTTTACAGGACAGCCAATTGTAGAAGGCACGATAACTCTATCACTCAAATTTGAGTGGCATATTCCCCCTTTAATCAGCCACAAGAAATTGAAAGGGCCATTCTTTTCTTCTTCTCCAACCTCCTCTCTGCCCTTGTGGGCCCCAAACTTTCCATGGAGGACCTTTCTTTCCTCCAACTTCCCCCTGAGAAGGCAGCCTGGCTAGAGAGACCATTCTCCGAGATTGAAATCACCGAGGCCATTAACCACCTGGGCCAAGATCTAGCCCTTGGGCCTGATGGCTTCCCTATAGAGTTTTTCAAAACTTTCTGGTCCTCCTTAAAGAAGGGATTTCCTCACTTTCTTTGAGGAATTCTTAGAAAGAGGTATCATCCACAAGGCCCTCAATGCAACCTTAATTGTTCCAGTCCTAAAAGTGGAGGGGGCTGAAGAATTGAAAGATTTCTGCCCCATCAGTTTGATCGACAGCACTTACAAAACCCTATCCAAGGTTCTTGCCTCCCACCTCAGGTAGGTTTTGGGGTTAGTCATATCCCCACAACAAGGAGCCTTTGTCAAAGATCATCAAATTCTTGAGGGAGCCTTTGTCGCTCATGAGAGTATCCACTCAAGACATCTCTTTAGGACCCCTATGTTGGTGGACAAGTTCGAGTGGGACAATGCCTACGACAACATGGACTGGGCTTTACTCGATAAAACTTAGGCTCGAATGGGTTTCGGTAGCCGCTGGAAAAGGTTGATCCTTGGTGCATTAGTTACCCCCACTTCTTGGTCCTAATAAACGGCTCCCCCAAAGGCTTCTTTCCCTCTTCTAGGGGGCTTCGACAAGGCAACCCCCTTTGTCTCTTCCTCTTTGCCAAAGCAGCTGAGGTCTTCTCTCGTTCAATGCAACAGCTCTTTGACTCTAGTATGCTGAATGGGTTCAATATCCCTAATCATGGCCCTATTATATCCCACCTCTAGGACACAGATGACACACCCTGGTATTCTGCAATGCTGTCTCACAAAAAGTGGATACCCTTCTCTTATTCCTCAAGTGTTTTGAATGGACTACAGGCTTCAAAGTCAAACTTGCTAGCCAATGGGATTGCCTGGCTGAAAGTCTCCCCTCAACCTACCTTAGCCTTCCTCTTTGTTTAGGGAAGCCAGAACATAGTTTGTGGGCCTACTTAATCGACAAGTTCGATCATAAGTTGCATCTTGGATGGGTCGCTATTTCTCCTCATCATGAAGAGCAACCCTTATTAAGGCCACTCCATCCAATGTGCCAATATATCAGATGTCGCTCTTTCAAATGCCGGCCTCAATCAGATCTCGAATTGAGCAACTCATGAGAAATTTCCTTTGGATGGAATTTTCCACTTGATAGCTTGAGCTAGAGTCTGTTCACCCCTTAACTAAGGGGGGCTTGGAATCCGGGGGCTCAAGAATTCCAACACTGCCCTCCTGGGAAAGTGGCGGTGGCATTTTGCCACCCAAGAGAAGAACCTTTAGCAAGAAGGCCAGGTTTATGAGAGATCATCAGGTGTTTGGAGGTCGCTCCTTAGTATCTTACATCGCTTCAAAAGTTACATACGATACTACCCAAGAACTGGAAATCGAGTGAAATTCTGGCTTGATCTTTGGATTGGGCAGAATTCTCTTAAGGATAAGTTTCGCTCCCTCTTCCTTCTGGATCGTGACTGCCAAGCCACGGTCGCAGAACTCTTCTCCATCCACGGACAGTCAAGGACTTGGAGCCCAAATTTCAGATGACCTCCCTCGGACTTGGAGTTACCAGAATTCCTTGAACCCTCCTCTCTCTTACACTCAACTTTCATTCCTCTCACTGGAGCAGACCATCTCATTTGGACTCCAACCCCAACCGGGAGATTTTCAGTTTCTTCCTTCTATAGAAAGCTTATTGAACCCCCCCACTTACTCGTATGCCCCTGCTCCCATAGTTGCTAAGGCGTGGTTCTCTCTCGGCCCCCCAAAAGTAAAGGTCTTTACTTGGATTGCCTTAGCTGAGAGAGTTCTCATGGTGGACCAATTACAAAGAAAGCCTTGCCAATACCAAATCAATGTGTAATGTGTTTAGCTGCAGAAGAAACAAATTCTCATCTCTCCCTTCACTACCCTCTCGTGCAAAACCTGTGGGGTGCTCTACTCCAATTATTCAATTGGCAGTGGGTCATCCCTCCTTCAGTTCCCCACCTATTCCCCTCCCTTCACTCGTTCTCTTGGGCCAAAACAGGCATCTTTCTTTGGAAGACGGCTTTGGCCGCCTCAATCTGGTTACTGTGGATTGAGTGTAACTCAAGGATCTTCTGAGGGGAATTCTCCTCCGCTCCTGCCCTTTTTGAAAAACTCAAAGTGAAGGTTATCTTCTGGGCCTCCAACCTTTCCCTCATCGGCCTTCCATCAAGACCGGTATCCCTTACTACACCTCAATGAGCATCGCACCTCTCGCGCCTCTCTTTGGATTCCCCCAGAGCCCAGCTTAGTCAAACTCAACTTTGACGGCTGTTCTCTCGGTAACCCAGAGCTAGCTGGTATAGGAAGCCTTTTCCATACCCACGAAGGAGCTATCTTAGCAACTTTCTCCAAGCACGTCGGCCACTCTGACTCTCAAACAGCAGAGGCTTTAGCCCTTCTAGAAGGCCTCAAACTCTTCGATAACAACTGGAGCCATAGTTTGATGGTCGAAGGCAACTCTTGCAATGTCATATCCTGGGTATCAGGCTTATCTGAATGCCCCTAGTACTTGCTACAATTTTTTGACAAGATTTGTGGTATATCCAGGGGCCTTCAACTTTCCTAGAATCACGTGCGGAGAGAGAGTAACTCAGATGCTGACTCTCTAACCAAAGAAAGGGCACTCAATGCCACAGTTTGAGTGTATTTTTCTTAGATTCAGATGTATAGTCCCCTACCCTCTCTCCTCCTTGACCACCCCTTCCTGTTTCCTTCTCCTCTAGTTGATTTTGTTCATAGCCCATTATAATTGACGGGCCTTCGTGTTGTACAAAGCTTCCTTCCCAGGAAGTAATATTTGTGTAATTAACACATAGCAATACAATCCCGTAAACTTTCTCAAAAAAAACAAATGTTTTATACTATTGAGATAAAGAGATACAAGTAGAAGTTTAGGGCTTCCCACATACCGGGTATCAAAGAATTGCTTTCTACCATCCCATGACTGTATGACATAAGAATGAATATTAAGCATGCCACATGATAGAATCAGGACAAGGTTATTCATCAAGGAATGTCAGATGGTGGCCCAAATATTGCCTCATATGATATGAGAAGAAATATAAAGGTGGTAATATAACAAGATAAAGGTTTCTTATGGGGACTTTCGCTATTTGCGGGGACCCAATATATGCAATTTCCATAATTGATAAGTTACATGCCGGTAAACTGTATGCTCAAAAATGGAAAAAAGATATACATCTGCTTATCAAGCAATCCATCACTATGTGATCCAATGCAGGCATCCCAGCAGCACCAACAAGAAGCATAATGCAAATCATAGACAACATCCCATCCCATATTGCAAGATATCCAGAAAAGAAACACTAGGAACATGAGTACATGCAAAAATATCTATATTTTATATCAATTAGATCTCAATCTAAAGGAACACGTTTCTTGGATGGATGCTGCTTAAGTGGTGACAAAAGAATGAATCTTTTTTTACATTATTAGAATCTAAGTGCTCGCCATCTTCGGGCACAGAGTCGTCAACATTACTAGAGGGTCCTTCCTCTGATTCTGAGGTAGTTTCCTTCTCCAAACTAACAGACATTGTGAAGGTTCTGCAAGATGTATTAAGACTTGAAGATCTCAACCTAGGCGGTGGACATTTATGTAAGACAATAAGAGAAGCATGACACAGAGTTGCATGCTTTTGATATCCCATCCGAAAGTTAGAGAGGCGTTTGGTAAGAGGTTTCCATTCCTGCTCTCTTGATTGGCAAGAAACCAAGGGACCAACTTTATGAGAACAGCACCTGTCACAAACATAGTTGTTTAACAAGATCAGAATATTGGAGTTAGGAAGTATTCATCTAAAGATCCATAGTTAATGAGGGATTGCATCTCACAAACAGCTAGAGGATATGACCAAGGTACTGACCTCCAAATATATAACAATGAAGGAAGCATCTCTTAAGAACAAGTTTTTTAAGCAGAAGCATATTATAAGCCGATGAACAAAGAAAAACCAGTGTCATCACCATCCACTGAAATATTGGCCAATGATTCATAGAGTGTGGGAAAATGGTTTTTCATAGTCCATTTGATTATTGCACACTTTCCAATTGTCCAATGCAGCACTGATCAATCTTCCATAAGTTCTATTTGATACTCCCAAATGGCCAGTTTTATTAGACAGACTGCAATGAATGAAATTCAGTAACATGTCTACATGAGGCATTAACACCAAAGGCATGCATACCATCAAGAAATCCCACGTAATGCCAAGCTAGTTTTTCAACAAGATAAGTATTTTTTTTTTCACATGGGCATCCCCATTAACACTCATAATAATAAGCATAGGAATGAAATTAACATTTATGTAGAAATTTTCAATACCCGGCAATGCCTGCCATGGCGTAGCATAGGCCGATGAACTCCTGCCAGTGAGAAAAACAAGAATATCGCCAGTATCAACCTTCAAAGAGAGCATCAAAATAACCATTTCAGAGGAGGTCTATGGATAAGATAAAAAAGATGCAATCTATTGAAAAATGGACTATACGAACTCATTCCATAGCATAAACTTAAGGACATAACTTTGCTAAGAGTGTCAAATGCACATTAAACAATGGCTTCCACATTGAATTCTAGTATGCCAAGAGAGTAGCCAACACATGAAAGTAAGCCCAAAATTTTGATAAAGCATCTCTACATATGATAGAGGGAAATGAATACAAACGAAGAATGCAGTAGCTAAAGTTTAACCACTCAGAACCAGCAGTTAGAATAGGCAGTTTGATTTCTGATGGAAGATAGATTCAAATGAACATTATAGGGGTTCGTTAGAGCCTAATTCCCAACATATAGACATCACTGAACGTGCTAAACTGCTAGTGAGTCTACCAATTATTGCTTGGGCGAGTAATTCCATAAGGTTATTGGACAACATCTTTGAAGAATCTCCTCATACAACATGATTTAGTTTCGGCAAGTATGGTGAGAGTCTAATGAATTAGCAGATCTCTAGACAAAGAGGGTTCATGATAAATTCATTGGTGATCACATTGAGTGAATTTTTATTTTTTTTTTCTTTTTTTTCACGTAGAGTGACCTTGCATTATAGAGCAAAATTTTCTTTTTTTTTTTAGGTAAGTGCATTATACAGTGATGTTCCGTTGGGTGGATACACAATTTTTGAGAATTTTGAATATCCTAGAATCAGGTATTACATCACATGCATCATTCATGAAAGGAATGAGATACATCTAATAACAACAAAAAAACTCAGTGACCCAAACTGTTTAGTTGTTTCAACATATCAATCACTTGCTACAACTAATACAATGAGAGTTTTCTGATATCAGATGAGTTCAAATGAGCATCCTATTGGTCTATAAGAGCTTACTTATCCCACAAATCCAGACATAATTAAAAATTACTATTGACACAAATTGTCCACTTGCTCTCTTGCCCCAACTGACAGCAACAAGAGTAGTTCCGACAGTGAGATAGATTCAAGTGAACATCATATGGTCCACAATAGCCTACTTATCTACTCATAACTGGAAAATGGTAGTGACCCAGTTCAACAATTGCTTTAGCTCCTCGTCCAACTAGTAACAATCCGACTTGTTCTTAACTGAATACCCAGTAAGGGTAAACAATCCTAGCATTAGAGCCCTGAACATTCTCATGGTTGAAAGAAAGAAACCACGATCTAAGTAAAAGTGTCCTTCATGGCACTCAAATGTTGAAAAGAAGGTGAAAAATTGCAGCAATGTCTTGTTGTGCTGAAAGTTCAAATTGCAGTAATCTGTACATTAATTTTTTTTAAAAAAAGACCTTGCAGAAAACCAGTCGAGTAAGTTCGAGAATACAAGAATTTAAAGTTAATGTTCATAGTGGCCCAAAATTGCATTACTGAGATAAAGGTGGAGTAGAGCTGAAAGCAAGAAACTCAGAATGGCATAGAGAGTGAGGTCGCTATAGAGAGGGACTTACAGAGAGAGTTAGTGGAAGCTGAGGAACAAGGACTGGTGTGATGAGGTCATGGAGTAAGAATGAGATTCACTCATTTGCAAATGGTGGAGAGAGAATGAATATAAATGGGAGGGGAAGAGTGTGGCGAGGAGAGAAAAAGGAGAGAGTCTCAACATTCCCAACTGCGTCGCCCAGCCACAAGAAATCCGACCCCCACAAACACCCATCTTTAAGACGTGATCATAAATCGCAAAACCGATGTTAGAAAGCGCGAGTCGACAGAGTCTATATCCTGGCCCTCTGGCCGAGTCCAAGTAACTTGTCCCGATGAGGGCCGACTATAAAAAAACAGTAAAAAAATGTCAAAAAATTATAAGAAATAAGAAATGTATGTATAAAGTAAGATTAAGCAAAAACATTTCAAAATGATGTTAAAAAAATAGTAAAGACCGATTTAAAAAAATGAAAGGGATTGTTTACAAAAAGAGAGTTTATCTTTTCTAAAAAAAGGTCACAACTATTTTTTTTTAGTAAATATCAATTTGGATGGCGTTGGGTCACTCATGAAGTCTGAGAATTTATTTTTTTTGGAAATATATCTATTCAATGACGCTCTTACAACTACCCATTTTGAAATTTAAAGGACAAGATTGATTGTGATATTCTTGTACAGAAGGTAAATAATCTCTTTATAGACAATCTCATTTTCAAAATAATCCAAAAAAACTAGAAAAATGTAAAAATAACTATATATGACCGAAACATTTTTCAATATTTGCCAAATGATAGAAAAAATAAAACAACATATCCCAAATGAATTCCTTATTTTTTAAGATTTTTCATGATTTTTGTTTTTTAAAAATTAATATCCTCGAGTTGGACACCCAACTCATGACAACTCGGGCTTGACAAGGGCCTGCGCCCCGAGTAACTCAGCCGATTTTTCAATCACTGACCAAAACACAAATAAGAGAGAGAGAGAGAAAGGCAGAAAGAGAGAGGAGCCCAGTTTGCCTTGCCCTAAAGTAGGGCCCTACCCCCAAATTGTAGACGGAAAGCGGCTAGGGCTAGTGTCGACCCGATTCGGCATGGCCAAACCAATTTTTTCCTTTTTTTATTTTTATTTTTGCTTTATTTGTTTTTGGCCCGATACAGAACCGGGCTAGGGTCAAGGCTGGTACGGCCCAGGTGCCACCCTTAATTATAGGGACATAATGTGCCCAGCTTACTAAGCCCTTATGCTTTGAGAATTTTTGTCAAAATTTAGGAGTTGAACTTATCTCACTTGTGCACCCGAAACCTAGGACTCATCTTTTCAAATTTTCTTATACCATTTAGGGCAATGCTTTTATGTGCAAGGGACCGCAAAAGTGAAGATACAATAGGGATTGTTTACCATCGGTGCAAGGAGGGGACAAAGTTTCGAGTCTTTGAGCTGAAATCTGACGGTTGGGGGTTGCTATTGAGTGTACTAAAAGTCGCAAATGATTGTTTTCAGTGACACAATACGAGGGACTTAGTTTCATGCATGAAGGTTACAATCACATATAAGGATTACGACTATAATTCTTATATCAAAGGTAAACGAACTTATAGTACACGATCCCCTTACGGGTGTCAATTGGGTTAGTTCAACCTAACCAGGCTCGGGTAAGGAGCCAGGTGCTAGAGCCGATGGGTTACACTTGGGTCCATTAGACATGGACCCGACCCAGGCTGTGTTTGGGTTTGAGTCAATCCCATACACTATTAGGTGTGGCAATGGACCTAGATCCAGACCCGACCCAAGACCCAAGGAGTAGACCCGACCTGGGTCCAAAATATTGGATCTATCGGGTCGTGTACTAGTCCAAATCTTGGACCTGAATACTATTCGGATCTAGATCCGATGGGTCTAAGTCCCAATATATTTAAATATAATTAAATATATAAATATTTTAATTTTCAAGTTTGATCGGGTATGTGTTCCCACACTATATTTTTGAATCCCGATCCAAGTCTGAGTTCCATATCATTTTTCGGGTTGAGGTCCGACAAGACCCATACCCGTTGCCACCCCTAACTTTCTGATTTTTTTAATATCTCTTAGTGAGACATCTAACTCAGAGAAACCCATCTCCCAACCTGTACTTGGGACTCGGACGAGTAGTCAAACCTTAGTTAAGTACACATTTTCTCAAAAGGAGGTGGAGTTCATCCCCCTATTTTCATTTCTCTCTGCCTCCTCTCTCTCTCTCTCTTTCTCCCTCCCTCCCTCTCTCTTTCACTCTTAAAGGGGGTGGATTTGTGCCCCCTTTTCTCATTTCTCTCTCTCTCTAAAGGGGTGGGGAGATCCACCATGTTTCCATTTCTCCCTCTTCTCCAAGAGAGAGATAGGTGCTTGATGGAAAGATTTCAAAATAGGGAGAGAGATCCTAATTAGAGTGAGAAAGAGATGCATGTGGGAGAGAGATGTGTGATGGAGAGAGAGAAGAGAGATGCATGGCCAAAGATCTTTCGCCCTTTGCCAAGTGCCCCAAGCTCTCTCTTCGTAGGGCACGTGGCCAGAGCCCTCTCTCTTTTTTTTCTTTTAAATTTTTGCTAGAGGCCTCTCTTTTTTTTAAAAAAAAAATCTTTTTACTAACACTACTCGAGCGAATCCACTTGAACTTGCTTGACTAACTTAGGCTCAGGCCACGGTTGAGTCCATGGCCTGAGCCGAGTTTTCAACTATTGGCACACCTCGTAGTTTGGAGAGAAAGAGAAAACTGCTAGTCCATTATTTTTAAGGTTAACTTCAAAATTTATGGAATAACATTTTGGGAATGTTAGGATGGGTTCAATTGAATATTGAGATTCAAAAATGTTCTATGAAGTGGTCTTGAACATCAATTGTGATCTCTTCTACTTTAGAAATATGAAAATATGATACTCAATGATGAGCTTAATGAGATATACATCAACCAAGTACTAGAATTATAGCTGAAAAGACATGCAAGTATCTGTTCGGATTAATATGGCAAACAATTGAATCATCAAATATCACATGAAACCAGAGATGCCTTTCATAATGTCATGGAGCATACTGATGAATTTGGGTAGGTTTTCAATTTGACCTTTAAGGCTTTTCAACAATATGATTGCCAATTGGCCTCTGGGATCATAGAACTTAGGTCATGGGGTACTATTCACAGAACTTCCTTCCTGACATCTGATTATACTTGACCTTTTATTAGCTTATTTGGAAGGGTAAAGCCAATTTTAAAACAGAAATTCATTAGGGATTTCTTGCCAATCTATACAGCAGCATCTCAAGGCTTTGAAACTTCACTTTAGATTTGGAGCCTATTGATATGGTTAGATGTTAAAATGACTGCATGGACATCAGGTAATTGTCTTAATGAATCTTTGACACTTGAAGAGGGCACAAACTAGGCGCAACTAATGCAAATCAAATCAAAACATTGAGAGACCAATCTAAGTGCTGCTGTCATCACATAGCAGTTTTCAATGCTTAGGGTGGCTTGTGAGGAAGTTATGATTCCTTAAGGATGGTGTAGAAGCCTAGAGAAAATTCATTTCTAGACACAAGTTGTAGACATTTTCTTGGTTACAAAACAACTAATGCTTCAAAATTGAAGTTCCTTGACTGTGGAAATCTGTATATTCATTGACGCATTCGAGCTTTGATCCTTCTTTCTCGAACCCAATTTAATTTCAAATTCTTACCATTGTGGTACCACTAAGAACTGCACGATTTGTCTCTAATGCTTCTCTCTTGTGGGATCATTATGGGGCTATACTTGATTATGTCAAGAATTATCCATCATCCTTTTCTGATTCCTGCTGTTCGTTTTTTGGAAAACTTACCTTAAAAGATACCAGGAATCCATATGTTACCATCTCATCCCACTTCCCCTTCCCAGAAAAATAAGAAGAGGAGAAAAAGAAAACTCCAAGCTTAGGAGAAGTAACTAACTAGCTTTCAAAATAGACTTGAGAGGAATGATCATGTAGAAATCCAATCTATTACATTATTCCACTTGCTTCTTCTTTATGTATTTGCACCATGGACCAACAATAAAAAGTTGATTTGTTCCCCCATTTCCACCTAGAGATCTGCATATGTTGATTGGTCCATCCAAGGTCATTAGAAATCTCTTATTTTCTGCAATGAAATCTCCTGGTTACTATCTCCTCCTAAACAAAATAACATTCAATTGGGACCATAAGTACTTTCTCCTCCTAGGAAGAACAAATATAAGTCTCTCCACATTCAATGTTCTCTCACTATTTTCCATAACTCATGTTTTCCCCTCTCTAATCTCTATCTTTCACAATCCTCATATGGACTGATCTATCTAAAGAGTGTAGGGTCTTATATTGAGTTACAACATCATATTCTTATCAACATGGCCATAGGATGATGTATTTACCAAAGATAAAAAGTGCCATTTATGATATGAGGAACCACCAGTACTGGCTCTCTCTTCAACACAAAGATAGATATGACCAAATGGTTGTTGGGGTTCAACCTATGTAAAACTCTTTGCAGATTTGATTGATTTCCACATTTAATTTCCTTTGCCCTAAACAAACTCTCATATTCCCAAGTCCACAGGTTGGTTAATAAAGAGCCTTGTATTTAAAAGGGGTGAGGATAGTATAATGTGTCCACCGTATAATGTACAACTAAGGCACACCTTTTGCAAAATGCAGTTTGGGTGTGGAAAATGACTTAAAAATCCATGTTTAACCTTCTTGTAAAATTTAGATTTTCAAAAAAGAAAATGATCGAGCAAATATGCAGATATTTGAAAATCTTGAAAACATAAGGTCCAAATAAATTATTACTAAATTTACTATTTTTAAAATTTTTATTCAAATAAATTATTATTAAATTTATTATTTTTAAAATTTTTTGTTCTTTACCTCCATACATCTCGAAGTAGATATAATCGGTTGGGCATTCAACTTCGTAACACTATTTTGTATTAGATTTTTGAGGCACATGCTGCAACCTCATATAAACTTTTCCTTCGAAAAGGTTCAACAACTCAACATTGTCTCTATAGAAAGTCATTGCATATATCCAAATTCCCAAATCCAATGTTTTTTTTTTTTCTTTTCAATAATGAACAACCTCATCTTTAAAAAAATTCAAACCCCATTGTCCCTATTAAAAGTCATTGTCCAAGAGGTTTGGTGAAAACAAGAAAGAAGTTACACATGAAGGCTGCTGGAGAACTTTTTAACGTTGGAATTCTTGAATGTGCTTTTCCTCCAAACCGAGAAGAAAATTATCGAGTTTGTAACATATTTCAATGAACGGATGCCGTGTTTCTCTAATTTTATTATTTCTCTCCGCAGATACATAAATTTTAATGACTCTCTCTCTAGAAACTTTTATTTTCCTGACCATTGATGCGTAAAGAAGTGCTTGGATCTGAGAGACACAAAGTTGGATTTTGATCATTAATGCTGGTTTCTTAAGGCGAGGAACAGGTATGTCATCCTTTTCAAAAAGGTTTGTTGATTTCTTTCACATATTTCAAGATATGCTTATTGAAATAAATCCATGAAATTTTAAGTTTTAATGTTTTGAAGGAATGATTTTCTGATATTCTGTGTTTGTTTATTATCTGAAGAAATCAATATTCAGAATTCTCTTTTTTTTTCTTTGATTCTTGTCTTACTTGTGGTGTATCTTTGTGCAAATTTAGGTTATGAGAGGAAAAATATTCTGTATATGGGATAAATTGCTGTTATAAAGTTTGCCAAATCATGCTAGTCAAGGCTGTTGATGGGTATTTCCGTTTTTTTTTTTAATAAAATTGTTGGGAAAATTTCATTGGGACATAGAATTATCTCAATTTGGATTACCTACACTTACTCGGAACAAAATTAATATTAAAATCTACAAATATCGAAGAGCAATGGGAGCCAAGAGAGAGAAGATGGTTGGAACTTCCAACGTCCATGTCTTCTTCTCTAGACAAATAATCTTGAATTCTGACCATCATCAAATCATCATCATCATCTGAGCCTTATCTCAAATATTTGAGGTCAGCTTTAATATTTAGAGATGTGACAAAAGTTTTATGCTGGCTGCCAACCTAACACCCCTCCTCCTTTCTCATCTGGGCTTTGAACTGAGCATGGCAGAGTTAATCTTGGACTCCAACAATAGAAACCCTAAATTTTCCATACTGCATCATATTCACCTAGTTGAGAATGACTAGAGTATGAGGTTATTGCAATGCATTTACAATGCAGTGGTTATTCTCACATCCCTCGAGAGGTTAGATACAATGGTTATTCTTCACTTCCCTCAAGAGGTTAGATAAGGAGATCCATGACCCTTGGTTTTAATTTTTTATTTTTTTTATTAATTGTGAATTGAGAGATTGACAAATTCTCATAAATTGGACTTCAATATGTGCTAAGTGTTCAAACTATTGTCAAAAGTCTTGAATCTCTTGGTTTGTCTAAACGTTTTCCCCTCTGATACCACTAAAAAGCAAACAATTCGTCTTTTCTTTTAGGATTGCATTCTTCCCTTGAATACTATGAGGAACAAATTTGATTTCTCCTCAGTATCAATCGTGAATCACAACTCATGAATGTACATGCACTTGCTTTGGTACCAACTGATGCAGATGAAAATAAAACTTGGTAACATGACAATCCATGCTAGGTGTTCGGCATTTTATTAAAACTCTTTGAATCTCTTAGGGGCCGTTTGGGTACCAGTAATTCTATTACATGAAAATTGATTACAAAGAAATTTGCTATTTTGAGCATTTGGGTACGCATAACGAATAAGGAAGGCAGGAGATGAAATACATTACCCAAAATTTTCCCCAAAATCATGAAATCTATTTCACACTGGGAGGGTAATGAAACACATTACGGGGTTTTACGGGTAATGGAAGCCTGCCTGGACCTGCCGAAATGATTCAATCCACCTATATCTTTTGAAGCCCGTGTAATATGCCCTGCTCCCTCTCTCACGCACACAAAGCCTCTTCTCTCGACTTGCAGGTCTTGAAAACCCTACTCGCTGGTAAGCCCTCCCCACCTCTCTCTTTCTCTAACCTACTCTCTAGTAAGCCCTCTCTCTCTCTCCTTCCTCCATTCTCTCTGTAACCTAGACCTTGTAATGCACATCACCCCCCTCTCTCTCTAATCTAGAACCTCTCTCTAATTGTGTAAGGTGATGTAAGAGTTCATACATTCTCTCTCTCTCTCTCCAATAACTAGCAACTCTCTCCCTCTCTCTCTCTCTCTCTACGTACTACGCACTACTCTCCTTCCCTCCTCTCTCTCTCTCTCTCCAATAACTAGCAACTCTCTCCCTCTCTCTCTCTACGGTGTTAATGCTTTGTGGAAATATGGAGGAGTTAATTGCTTTGATACAACAATCTCACAAAAGTCCTCTGGTTTAGCCTCCTTGCTATACACTAAAATACAAAATCGAGTAGAAATTGGAATGTAAAATGGTGTAATAAAGCATATAGAAATACCTGTGAAGTATTCTAATTCTAATTCCAGAAATGGTAGGAAACTAATTGCCTTCACATATTTGAAAATAAAGTAGATTATTGATATTTTATCCTAAAAACGTAGAAAACAAAAGAACTGTGCAAAAAAAAAAATTACATTACTATATATAAAACTCAAGCAATATTTTCAAGCCAAAATAGCAATAATGCATTTTCCAGATTTCTTCCTAACATAGCCAAACAGTAGCAATGTATTTTCCACGCTGTATCAAGATGCTACCCAAACAACAACAATCTATTTTCAGGTAATGTATTACACCAGTAATTTATTACGCTAGTAATGTATTTCATAAACAATATATTTCCAGGTACCCAAACAGCCCCTTAGTTTGTCCCAACACTCTCCCCTGGACTGCCATGATGAACGATAGATGATCCTTCTCATATTAGAACCACTTTCTTGCCTTCGATACCATGAGGAACACAACCATTTTTTCTGCTTATGCAGCCAATGTGAAGTGCAACTCACAAATCTATGTCATAAAATACTTGCTCTAATACCAATTGATGCAGAGAATAAACAAAATGTGAGAACACTAGGTATTTATTTGTTTTTTGGAGAGTGAAAACCAGGTTTATTTTAACTTTTAATTATTTTAGTTACATTGGGGTATTTTTTTCTTTTTGGTGTTGTAGAGAATTTAGGGCAGTGTGCTTATTCTATTATAACCTTTTAGTTAAGGGTATTTTAAGCCATTTTTTGAAGAAATTATGAGATAAAAGGTGAGAGGGACGTCCAGCCCTTAGAATGCTTATTTTTGATAACTTTGTGCAGAAAGAAAACCCTATAAAGGACTTCTTGAAATCTTTGATTGACGTCCATAGAGAAGGCTTGATAGCACCTCCCAATATCCCTCCCTTCCAAGGTACTCTTCAATTTCTTCTTCTCTTCTTTCCCTTCTTACTTCTTTTCTTTCCTTTGTTCATTCCCTTCTTTCCTCTGTTCTTTGCCTTCTTCCCCTTCTTACTTCTTTCCTTTTCATTCTTACTTCTATTCCTTCTTTGAACTCCTCAATATTTTCTTTTTTAGCAATTTTTCTTTTTCTCCCTTATTTTTCTATTTTTCTTTCTTTATTTTTTTTTCTCTTTTTCTAGCCCTCAAAACCTGCAGACATTTCCCATTTGAAATCCACTAAAACGTTAAAATTGGCCGTTAGGTTCTTCCTAGAATTAACCTAATTGAATCCCTTGAAACCTTAATCCTTAATGTTTTTCTAAAGTCAAAACCCAATTTTTTTTTTGCACACAATTAACTTTAAAACCCTAGAACTAATTGTGAAGATCTTCCATAATTTATTTTAAATTATTCTACACCCACTTCTTCTCTCTAGGTTGTGGACTAGTTTTAAATTTAATTGGGATCAACTTTTATTTGGCTGATTTTGTTTGAGGATAGATTTCAGTCCATTACAGATTCTAAATTTCATTTCCCATACATCAAAATAAAGTTCTAAAATTGTGTGCTAGTTTTTGCAAGTTTATTTAATCAGTTTTTTGGGTCAATACGTGCTGAATTTGTAGATATTTAGCCTTAATTTAATCTAAAATGTTTCCCAAGCGTGTTTTATGATCTTGTAATCGAAGATTAGCGAGAGGCTGATCTTAGGTTACATCTATTACTCAAAAAGTGAGTGGACGAATATGCCGCCTTTAATAAAATGTCTGGTAAGTTCAAATACAAGGCTTCTGATGTATGTCTAATTATATGTGCATGTGCACTCTTACGCTTTTGTTGCTCTACATTAATTTTAAGTGCCCATTTTATAAATTTCTAGAGTTAGCAAAGGCTCTACATCCCCTTATATGGATAGCGTTTTGGTTGTTATCTCTTTGAACATGATGTTTTAGCTTCTCATCCCTATGGTTCTTCCCAAAACTTTTAAACAATGGATTCATGTTGTGTAATGAGCCTTTTCACTATAAGTGCTATTTCCATGTAATTATTGATAATCTCTTGCTCTTGGAATGGGATGTGTTGCTTTCTATTTTACATTAGCTCTCTCTGTTTCACATTCACTTTAAATCAGTGCGTAATGCAATGGAAGTTGACATATTTTAGTGAACAATGAGTTAAAGCTGCATTTCCACAATAAATGTTGCTTTTTAATTTGCTATTTTATATTTGGTTCTGCCATTTTTGCCGAACCCTTAACCATTCAGATGTTTTTGTTTTCCCAGTGCATTCTCTTTGGAAGCATCTGATGGTTTGCCCTCGTAATTTACCAGTCCATCAATCAGTGCAAAACAGGCCTCCAGTTTATCAGTTATATACTAGACGTCGTACTGTGCCACCGATCAAAATGGCTGTTCAGGATACGGTACCACATTCCCCCAAGGCAGTGCTATCTTTTGTCTCGGGCCATTTGCAGCAGAAACCATCAGAAATAAAAAACAATTGGCCTCAAGAAGTGGATCTTCAGCACTGCGGTTTGGAGCATCAGGAACGTTTGACGAATAGTCAAGGGATTTCCGTGCTCATTCAAGACAAGAATAACTCATCAAAAGGCATTCAGTTATCAAACTTTTCGTTATGTCCATATGAAGATAAAGGAGATAACCATGTATATAAAAGAAGGAATGGGCGGAATTCCTCTACATGTCAATCAACACAAGTTGAAAAGGGTTCCACAAAGAAAGAGATGCAATGCTATGGTCCAAACTCTGTCCAGCTTAACATGATCGACTACAAAGACGATCCTCAAGTTCTAAGTTCAAGGTGCAGTATTGGTGAAGACGGGGCTCTTTCGACATGTCAGGATGTTACTACTGAAGATTGTGAAAAACCACATGAAGAGAAGTCCTTTGGCAAAACATATGAGAGGAAGCGATATGGGTTTCGTTCCAAATGCTCTTGGTTCGGCAACAAGATCAAGAGCAGGGAAGTTGCTAGTAAATCTGATGCTTTCTATTTAGATGGAGAGAGTGGTGGGATAGTTGAGGCTTCTTGCAACGTGATTTCTATCAGTAGTTCGAATGCAGATAGTTGTCTTAGTGCAAATCATAGTTCCTCATTTCCAAATTTTGAAGAGTGTTCTAAATGCATTAATCCCGAAGTTTCTGAGGCAGGAGAGTGCTCCTCCTCTGGCAACAAGACCAACAAATCATCTGGGAAGTGTGACCCAGAAAAACAACGGATCATATCTATATTGCAGATGCATGGTCTTCTTGGTCAGTTATGGTCTGAGGAGTCGAGTATTTCGCCTGATGATGTTGGTGACAATACTTGTATGCAACAATGCAAGGTCTGTGGAGTCACTGAAAAGTCATCGAAATTGTTGATTTGTGATGAATGTGAGGAAGCATTCCACATGTTGTGCTGTAACCCGAGAGTAAACAGGATCCCTGTTGAGGTTTGGTTTTGCCAACAGTGTAAAAGGCAGAGAAAGAGGTCCTTAGGCAGAAAACTCAGGAGCAGCTCACCGAGTTCTTCAGATGAAATGCTATTTGAAATGAAAGATGTACCAGTACGAAGACCAAATCCGCTCACATTCATGTTTAAAGATACTGAGCCATACACGACACAGGTTCGAATTGGTGAAGAATTTCAGGCAGAAGTTCCTGAGTGGTCTGGTCCCATATCAGCGTAAGTTCCTAGTTCTAGTGGGTCCTCAACGTAATCACTTGCTCATCACTCTTCTCAAGTTCTAATGTGCAAACGTTTTCTTTGAAGTCCTTATTTGTGTGTATATTATAAATGCTTCACAAAATTTTGGATTATTTTCTGAGGAGCAAATGGATGCGAAACTCAAGGTTTAGTGGTAGTGCAAGTTAAGGTTTTATATTAGGCTCTTCGCAAATATATGATTGAGACATTATCCTTGACTGGGGAATTACTAAGAGAAGGTACTGGAAATGTTATCCTTTTTTTCTTGAAAATTTACAACAGCTCATTGACTGAAGTGTTCCGCTGAGCCTGTGATGTTTAGTTTCATTCACTTGGGAGCTGCACAATAAATACACTGCATGATTTTCAGGATAAAAAAGAGTCCACCTGATCTATTTTCCTTTATAAAGATCTCAAAATTGGTAGTCCTCTGTATTGACCTGGTCCCGGGTCCCATTATCTCTAAAGAATGAGAATTGGATAGGAGTCCATGAGCTGTGTTTTTTGCGAGATGTTAGAGCCTTACAAAACCGAAATTTGGTTTGTCAGTTTCTTTTGAGACTTTAAGACTTAATTTTATGGTGTGAGATGTGCCTTTGCTATTTTTCAAACCTCCAACCCCTCAACATCTCCCTCCCACCCCCCACCGCCCCCGTAAGGAAGGTGCGCTCTGGAGTCCGAGTTTAAATATTATTCATATTTCGTTCATATGTTGCTGTTTTCTAGTGCTCTATAACTGGACGAGACTAGCTATTTGGGTCTCTGATTACTGAGTCAACTTGGCTTGAGGCTCAGATGAGTTCTGAGCTATGTCTAGATGTCTCAAGCCAAGATTCTAGACCTTGTTTGGTCTATAATGATTATTCTTTAGTTAGTATTCCAAAGACTAATCTAGCAAATATCTTGAAGAAGTTGCATATATGTCTCCTCATGCAAAGTTTATTAAAGGAATGCATTCTTGATTCTATTTGGGAGTCTACCACTGAAAAATGACAATTGACTACAAAACTTGAATGGTAGTGCACTTGGAGAACAAGTATTGACCTCTCCTCATACTTGAGGTGGGTATTTTTCTCCCATCAATCGAACCCTCTAATGGACTAGAAGGCTATCTCAAACCCACTCATATTGTGCATGGGATAGAGAGTCTACCCCCAAAAAATTGGCTGTGGAATTCTGGAATTCAAGGAGTAGTAACATTGGCAACCTCTACAAACATCTCCTTATAGCCGACTCAATACTCATGATTTAACTTGTAATAAATAGTTACAGCTTATAACGACTGAGAAAATTATGTGCTATTGCTTTGTTGTGGGATTGCATGGGTTTCAATGTCTTATGGCTCCATGTTTGTACTGAAAGTGATAAAACAAAAGGGTGCATAGACCCATTCCATTTAAAGGGGGAAGATAATTAATTAATTCCTCTATGGACTAGGGACCCATAGGAGATGGATATGGTTTTGGAGCCACACTCTTTCAGTTTATGTGAAACCCCGAGTGGGATGATATGGGATGGAAGTCATTCAATGACTCGTCGCATAGGCGTCAGCCCAGTTGAGGTGCCACTGACCGACATTGAAACCTCGGACATTAACAGCACAGTGTACTTGGAGGCATACTTGTGCGATGCAGAAAGGACTTTAGGGATGGGGCCTCAAAATCTCTACCGAAGTCCATTTAGATCGTATGCTCTCATAATGACAAGTCTGGTACTATATGTTCTGTGCTAACTGGTTTAGGCCTCTTAACTCGATATTGAACGTGTTATTTTATGGCCTCAGCTGATTTTTGTGCACCTATTATAGGCCTTTGCAGCTTCATAGTTGATTGTAGGCGTAATGGGTTAATTCAGCTAATAAGTAGTAGTAGAACGGTTATGCAATTATTTATCTTGGTATTTGCCATGTCAAATTAGTTGTCAAGTTTATGTTGTGCCATTGGATGGAACACTGCTATTTTAATTTTACTAAAAAGAGCTTTATGTGAAAATAAACAATCCTTTAAGCCCTGGAGATTTATAAAAGTTTCTGGATGTTTTCTGACCTTATTTAAGTGGTTTGTCCTATAGCTTTGCAAATCCGACTACTTTGGAATTTGCTAATTTGAAATCTTTAAGGGCCAGGCTAAATCTATATGATGTGGAACAGCTGAATGACTTGCATAAAACTTTGTGAAACTTCATAGGAAGATGCATGTGGATCCTAGGGGGTTTTGCCCAAGCTTTTCCACCTTAACAATTGTGAAGCACCCAATGGTTCAACATGCGTAACAAATGTGTGGAATGGCAATAAGTTTTCCAATCAAAGACTGTTTGAACTACTAAAATAAATATGAGTTCAAATTGTTGAAGGGTCTGATCTGGTTCAACCCATCAAAAGACAGAGAAATGAAACTCACTATTTATGTAAAGGTTATTACATACATCTTTTGCAGTCTTTAATACAATATGGTCCATTACATTTTAAAAAAAAAGAAAAAAAAAGCGAGAAGTACAAAAAAATGAAAGAAAAATTTAAATGATTGATGCTGACACACTTGCTAACGGGGGTGTTGATAAAGAAGGCTTTTTTCATGTCATTGAGATGTTGCCGTGTATCTTCTAGGAACCTTTTAGTGTATCGATATAATTTTAATAGGATTTCAGTATCAATAAAAGCATTAATAATGCAAAAACAATATCAGACCAGTTGGACTAGCTCGTTCAACTGGTCTTTGACCGGTCTCAGTTTTAAGTTGCGACTGGGATAGCAAAGAGTCCGGTCTGTTATGACCTGGTCAACAAGCCTGTCCACACTGGTCTTAATAACTATTGAGAGTGGTACCCCTTCACATTTTTAAGGGATGTCTCCCTTTTGTCACCAAATTGTCTTTGAAGACACAAGAAACTTGGGTGGCCAAACTGAGGTTTCCTTATTTTCAACTAGAAATCTATTAATGGGTGGACTTTCTTTAGAATATCTGCTATTTCATCTTTCCACATTTTCTAATTAATTGAGGACATCATATCATTTGTTCTATCTCTTGAGTCTACGCGGGACACGAAGTTAAAAAGGGAAATCTATGCTTTCTACCAATCCTTACTTCATATATCAATTTGGTCATCACATTACCAAGAAGAGAATGCAAACGGCAGCCCTCCTAATTTGATGTTTGATCATAAGAAACATACTTGACATGCTTCCATCTCCCCTTCAAATTCATCTTTATATGGTTGATGATATTAACTTGACCATCATGAGCCATTTGATACTTGGTCAAATGATGAAATCAATATAACGTGTTTGAGCTTTCGGTTGGTAGCAGTAGTAGGTATGGGAAAGATTATTATTTGAATTGCATTTTTTTTTCTTGTGATCATGATTAATGATTGTCATTTTAATTTTTTTGAAGCTGAAAACATCCTTAAGATCTGAAATCCTTGCACTGCCATTGAAGCAATGTCTTTTTAATTTGATCCTAGATTTAATGATCTTCGCTCACTATCTTGCATTGCATTTCAGTGATCCAGATAATCCATTCATGGGGACGCCCTTGGAGTCGGCACACTTGGACTGCCTCATTGATGTAAGGATTCTACCACTTGGAAAGAACCTCATTGTCTTTGTTGGGGGAAATTTTTCTATTTTGATTGTTCTTTATTTTTTGTTGAGAGATTTACCTGATATCCCATGTAAACATTGTAATTATGAAATTCTGCCCTAATTTATGTGTATTACATGCATATCCCTTTTGGTGCCTTTTTTTTTTTATTCCAATTCTAGATGTCGAAATTAGGTCTTAGAAGGGTGGTGACTTAAACTTTCTCTTAACCTGTCCCATACTCGAGTTAAAGCGCTGGGTTGTGTTAGGTAGGTAGCCAACGTAAAATTTTGCAAAAACTCAACATGGATCCTGAAATTACAGTGCGCAGAATGGCAGACCAAGATTCGTGTAGCCGATCCCAATTAATTGGAAAAAAGCTATAATGATGATGATTTAAATATCGAAATTCCTAAGTCACAAAGCCAAATGATGACTTTAGATTTTCAATATCCATAGTCATCTTTGACATTTTAATGGCAATTTTTTAGGTTAAAAAAGGAAAACCCGAAATGAATTTGGGTTTTGCAAATCCAAAGTTACTCAGACTCAGGATTTTCAAAATCCAAAGTCACTTTGTTTTTTTTCTTTTCCCTAAAAAATTGACTTTTAAAAAAGCCAAAGGTGACTTCGAATATCGAAAATCCGTAGTCAGAGAGACTTTTGATTTTCAAAATCTGAAGTCACTTCGGGTTTGTTTCTCAATCACTTCGGTTTTTTTCTCCCCAAAATGTTGATTGCTTAAAACTCCAAAGATGACTAATGATATTGAAAATTTGAAGTCATCAACTGGCTTTGTGACTTAGGATTTACGCTATCCATAGTGACGGCAAAGCTGGAAAAATAAAAAAGGCACCAAAAGGGGTATTCGCGTAATACACAACAATTAGGAGGAATTTTTGTAATTACAATATTTATATGGGATATACGATTAAATTTCTCTATTTCATCTGTTGAAATATTTTTTAATTTCCTCAATAGAATGAGTACCTTTTGTATTGGATCTTGCAGAAGAGGGGGAAAAATGGACATTCTATCGTGACTGCCTCTGTAGGTAATTGGCTTCAATGCCGAGCTACCTCCTGCGATGGAGATGCAATGTCTTGTGGAAAATGGCGCAGGTAATTATTTATAATAATCATCATGATCATTGTATATTAATAGTATTAGTAGTAGTGGTAGTAGTAGCTAGTAGTAAGTGTTGGTGTTGTTTTTGTTGTGGTTATTGTTTATTATTATTATTATTTCTTATCATTTTTCTTGTTCTTGTTATTATTATTTGATTCATACATAAACAACATGGCTATGTCGACCAAGGAAAACTACCTTGAATCAGACAGATAGGGCAACTCTGAAAAGAGAAATTGGACATAATAGAGAATAATGCCAGGGAAAGAGATCTAGAGGCTACACCCACCCTTTTTCTTAAGAAAGGGCAGTGCCTAGTAGTTCACTTCTCTAAGTACTAGTTAGCTTTTCTGAGTACATTAAAATAGGTGGACAACTTGACACCTCTTGAATATCTCCTCTACAATAATAGCAAATTGTCAGGCATAATCCTTTACTCCTTATGCTCATCTATTAAATTCCATCTAGTCATCTTCCTCATCAGGGGACCTAAGAGAAAATGTGAGAAAAAAAGGTCCAAATTGGGGACTTTTGTTGCTCCTACACCCTTGATCACACACCCACCCTGGATGGGCCTGGATCCCTTGGGGAACTGGTACCATTATGAGTTTAAGGCTTCCCACTGCGCTTAGCCTATTGGGCCCCAGGTTTGTCTTTGAAGATGGTGCTACTTATTCCCAGTTCATGGCTTCTTTTTCATGCCCTTGGAAACATGGGACTATTGCAGTATCCCTTTCCTTCTATTTTATCGTGTGCTAATCTTGTAACCCAATCTGCTAGAGGAAGATTGATGAGGGAAAACTAGACAAAAATTAAGAGAAAGAACAATCGAGAAAGAGAGGAGGAAAAGTACAGAATTTGTGGGAGAATGTTGCTTAACCACAAAAGCCAAATTTGAACTTTTCTGAAATTTTTAAAATGAGTATTACATTCTCTCAAAGCTTGGCATGCCAACCCTTTTATAATCGTGTGCCTTTTTTTCCCCAAAAAGAATAAAAAACCTGATATCATTGGCAATTTGCCTTAACTAGTGTAGAGTTTTCCTTAGCATCCCTACAACTCCCTAGACACCCATACGACTACCTCAACAAATTGTGAGGCTCACCAACTGCTTACACCTAAAAATGTGGGGCCCATGCTGTGCCCAGGTTAGCCTCATCAGGTTCGAAAGAACTCACTCTCGAGTTTGTATTTGATGCCCACAATATTCGGTCAAGTCTTGTTTTCTGAAAGTAGGATGAATGTGGATGTTTGGCGGCAGCTCGATCTTGTAGGAGTTGTCATTAATTTTCTTTAGAATGTCGCAGGGCCCAACTTTTCTCTCCTTGAGCTTGTTGTTAGTGCCTACTGGAAACTTCTCTTTCTTTAGATAGGCTTACACGATGTCTCTTTCTTTGACACAAGCTTTTGATAATTTGCATTGGCCATTTTCTTATACTTCGCATTGCTGGCCTTGAGCTTTCTATGAACTTCTTCATGGTTCGTCACCATAGACACTGCAAGTTCTTATAATGCTTTGTTTGGTTGGACTGTGTTTAGCAAAGGGATAAGGTTGATATGGTGTGTAGGGACTTACCCATATACCACCTCAAAGGGAGTCTTGCTAGTCGAATGGTTCAACATTTAGTTGTAAACAAACTCGGCTTATGACAGGATGTTATCCCACTGTTAGGTGCCTTTCCTGAACGAAGAAGGTTGCCTAGTGTTCAATTCACCACTTCCATTTGACCATTGTTTGATGATGATAAGCACTACTATGGTGCAAATCAGTACCAATATGTTTCCACAAAGCCTCCAAAAGTGGCTAAGAAACTTCGTGTCTTGATTTGAAGTGATAGACTATGGGAATCCATGGTGCCTAAACACATCTTGAAAATATAGATTAGCATTATAAGATGGATCCATAGTCTTTTTACATGAGATGAAATGGGCCATTTTATAAATTCGGTTGATGACCATAAAGATGGCATCTATGCTTTCTTGGATCCTTGGCAAGCCAAGAACAAAGTCCATGCTTATGTCTTCCTACGGAGATTTAGGGACAGATTTACAGACATATATTTTGGGTGTGTCGTTTGTAAATTTGACACATTTGGCACCCCCTCACAAAGTGGTTCACATCTCCATGTATTTTTGACCTATTGTACTTGTCTTCCACCTAGGAAATAGTTTTATTATGGTAGAATGCCCTCCCAAACCTCCGGCATGCAGTTCTTTAATGAGGCCCTCTCGAAGATAGCTTTTAGGAATGCACAAACGAGTCCCTTTGAAGAGGAACCCATCATGGAGTAAGAAACTTTCTGGCCCTCCTGGTATGATCTCTATTGTGACTATGTCTTTCCAATATCTGGATTATCATGATGTAACTCCATCTTCTCAAATCCAACGACGTGTACACTTTTGGTGTTTAGAAGTACAACATAGGCAAATTGTATCCCCCACTTGATTGAATAATTCGCTTTTGTCTTAAGGCAAAATTGTACTCTTGTAAGAAAGTTTTTGTGTCTTTAATTGGGGCTTCTTTGGTTGTTTATATACTTGAGTGCTTCATGTTTCCAGTTCAAAAATGATCTCCCTTTGGATGAGATAATGCCAAAGGGCTTGCACAGCAACCCAAAACTGGCGGTTGTAGGTTTGGTAGTTTCGCCTCGATTCATTGAACTTTCACTGAAAAAGGTTATCGGGTGTCCTTTATGGCAGAGCACTTCACTCATTCCAATATGCAAAGCATTGAAGTCAAACTCGAACACTTTCTTGAAACCTGGCATTGCGAGCATGAGTGATGTCGAGAGCTTTTCTCGAATAATCCCCTTTTTGAGTAGGTTCATTTTTTTTATAGTAGGTCCATGACTTGCTGATATAGCTCTTGTTCTCTTTTGGGCTCACGTGGTAGTGAGCTTTGTCTTGCTAGCTCACTTCCAGTATCAAGTCTATATGATGTTGAATGTCCCTTAATGGAGGAAGTCCTTTTTGAAAGATCATCCAGAGAGATGGTTTTGAACTCTAGAAGGGGTTTCAACTCACAAGGCACCCTCGTGGCTCCAACACTTTTGTTCAGCAAATTGAACATATCTCCACTCCCATTGCACTCCTCCATAAGCTTAGACAAGGTGAGACAGCTATTGCCCTTCTCTTGGAGAGACTTATGATTTTCTTCCTCCTTGCTAGGCAGGAGCACAACCTCCATTTGGAATATATAGGTATTTTTCCAGCCATTATGGATGACACACCAATTGTACTGCCTTGGCCTTCTGAGAAGTGTGTGATGTACATGCATAGGGAGGACATTGCACCATATTTCATCATTGTATGTTTTACCCATAGAAAAGGTAACTAGGAATAATTTAGTGACTTTTGCCTCATTACCCTTTTTGGATCTTGCTATTCGGCATTGCATCTGGGGTTTTCAAATTGAGATTGTCCACCATCTGTTGTGAGGCAATATTCTCAGAACTGCCACCATCAATAACTATGGTGCATACCATGCCACCAGATTTCTGCCAGGTTTTGAAAATATCAATCATGCCCAAACCTCTCCTAGGTCCTCCTTAGGAGTGGCTAAGGTGAATCACCTCACTCTCTCCAAACCTTGGGCTCAATCTTGTGCTAAACTGGTTCCTCATCATAGACGGGTTCAGAGCTTTCCCCTATGAACTCTTCTTCACTACCATCTTCTGTGAGGTTTACATGGGTTTCAAACTTTCTTTAGGGACACTCACTAGATAGGTGATCGTTTTGGCCACACTTAAAGCAAGTAACTGCCTAACTGGCATGTTAACTTGCATTGTAGGCCTCTCAACTGGGGCTGCCTCTCCTCAACTAATGGTGGTGTTCTTTAAAACATCTTCCACTCATTCGGTATTTGCACTTCTATTTTTGAAGTCCCACCCTTGTAACGCCCACGAGGTTGTATGTACCTCGTAGCTCCTCTTCGGCCAAGTTTAGCTTCGACTTTCAATTAGTAAGCATCATTGATCGTCCATAAGTGATGCATCTCCTCCTTATCCCAAATCAACAAGCACAGTCCACCGACAGACCCCAACACGAGTTGTTCCTCCATTTCTTGGATGCCATTGCGCATCATAAACTTGTAAAATTGTTCGATGTACTCAGCCACACTTCTTGCTTCTTCACGGATAAGTACCTGTATGTCTTTGACAAGCAGGAACTTTTCCTTCATCTTGGACTTCCATCTCTTCCCAAGATGAGACCTCGGGCTTCCTTTCCGAAGGCAAAGTTGCTGGACTTTTTTCCACCATGCCGAAGCATACCTGCGAAGAGAACCATGAGCTTTACATGAAGCTCCTGTAATGTCTCTTGAAGAATTTTTCAATGTAACTTAGTCAATGGAGAAACTTCTCGTGGTGCAACTGGCCATGAAACTCTGGCAAATCAATTGTGATGGAGTCCTGGCTTCTCTGATTTCCTTGTGATGTCACCAGTTGACAAAGGGATTACCATTGGGCTCATCACTCGAAGAGCCATGGCTGGGCATTAGCTTGCTTCGAGTTTCTCAGCGCTCGAGTCATAGTGTCAACTGCCCAACTTGTCTTAGCAGTCCCATCTACTTATAATCTATTGCATTGCTTGCTATACAGTTATCACGTCCCTCTCTGCCTCTGTCTCCTCACTGCCATGGACGTAGACCTCACTAGGAAAAGAGATTTTCTCCAGGCCCAAGCTCAGGATCTGATACCAAATGATGAGACAAAACTAAACAGCAACTAGGAGAAAGAAGAATCATGAAAGAAGGGAGGAGAAGTACAGAACTTGTGGGAGAATGTTGAAATGATGAGACAAAACTAAACAGCAACTAGGAGAAAGAAGAATCATGAAAGGGGGAGGAGAAGTACAGAACTTGTGGAAGAATGTTGCTCAACCAAAAGCCAAATTTGAAGTATTATGAAATTTTTAAATTGTGTGCTAGATCTTCTTAGAGATTGGCATGCCAACGTTTTCATTATTGTGGTTTTCTTTTTTTTCCAAGCAAGAAACATTAAAAGGGCATCTTTCCCCTAACAAATCTTCAGATAACCTAAGAATCCCTACAAACCCATACAACTAACTAGGCAAGTTATGACTCCTATCAACTCCCAACACAATAGTGCTTCCAATTTGTTAATTCTTACAATGTTTCCCACATTTCACACTCATCTATGCATTAACTCTCTTTGGGGTTCTCTTCACAATTAATTTGCATAAAAACCAGCAGTCCATGCTGGAAATTACATGCCTTCATGCTGTGCTGGACTTGTGGGACACACCAACTGCCCATGCCTAAGATTGTGGGGTCCAAACATGTTGAACCATGGACTTGTCATAAAAGATCTACCTCTAGAAAATAGCATGCAACCATATCTTTGCACAACTGCATTTTAGTAATCACTTTTGTTTTTGATGGTAGATAATCCTTTTTATTTCCAAAATTTTTTAACAAATTTCTTTGTGGTCGATGTTGACATAGCATTCTTCTTTGAATGTGCCTTATCTGATATTAATAGGGCCCCTCTCTATGAAACACAAACGGATGATTGGGATTGTTCATGTGCTGTGCGATGGGATCCCACACATGCTGACTGTGCAGTTCCACAGGTGATGAATTGGTTTCCTTTTATATTAATTACTTTGCTAGTTAAGATTCTTATGTCTTCTGCTCTTATTCTCTTGAAAAGGTTCCTTAGTCAATGTTACACCTTATTTTCTTCTCTTTTTATTATTCCATTCCAACAAAAAGTTTTGATTTTGGAATCTAGTTATATGAAATCTTTATTTCCTTTTTTCTCTAACCATTTTTATTAAGCTTCTTACATCTCAAAGATCAAAATTGCGCAAGGGAACACTACTGAATACCTTTGGTGAAGTCACAATGAACATGGCAACTGGGTCACTGGTTAGTGAATATAAATAAACACCCTTAGCAGCACTAGTCCTTGCCATGAATGAGTACTTGCTAAACTTGAAGATAAGCACTTCCTAGATCTTCATTATCATCATCATCGCTTGCGCCTTATCCCAACTAGCTGGGGTCGGCTACACAAGTCTTGTACCTCCATTCCGCTTTATCAAGGGCTATACCCTAAATGGATAAGGATTCATGAAATAGATGTGGCAAAATTTGTAGGCTGGGTGCCAACATAACACAACCCTCCTCCTTTCTCTGGGCTTGGGACTGGCATGTCTGGCTTGGGACTGGCCACGTAGGAGTTAAGCTCTCCCTAGATGAACAAATAAACTCTAGATGTGGTGTCCTAACACCGTAATGCTGTCACTTGGAACTGAGCAATATCAAACTGTTGTAATGTACATACTGTTGAGACTCAGATTTTTTGGTATAATGTTTTACATTGATTAGTACTTCTGTGAGAACATTCACTGTATTCCAAATTCCTCATTGTGTTTTCTAATTGGCATTGGCATACATCATGATGTGGGACCTCTTCTACGAGCATAGAATGCTGGTACCTTTTGTTGAGAAAACTTATAAATAACTATATTTGGCTCTACATTAACGTACTTTTGTCATTCTAAGTAATATACAGGTGCAATCTAATGATGGGTGTCTTGGCATGCACATGTAATAGGTGACTAATCCCTCATTTTTTGTGTATGAGAACTGTCCCTTGATGCACATAACATTGGATTCCCGCCTACTTGGGTTTGTAGCCTAGTTTTGTGGCCACCAGAATCTTTTTTTTTTTTGGTTAAATGTTAACTTTGTGGCCACCAGAATCTTTGTTGGAAATACTTTTTCTTTTGGTAAATAATGATATTTGTTAACTTGTGCACCCGTAAATGACAGTGATTTTATTTACAGTAATTTACCCCCAAAACAGTTTATCTATGCTTATGTGTATGGGCAATGACATGTATCTGTTGTACATCGTCGAAAGGTCCATAAATATATCCCGTAACCAAATCATCAGTCATGTTTAACATCCTATCCCTCCATCTCAATTTAATGGGTGCTGAAGGATCAGCCTATTGACATATTAAGTATGTATCTTCGGTGTCATAGACTTTGGGAAAATATCAGCAACTTGATATGCCCAAACTAGATAGATCTATTTAACGGGATCCAGCTATCCTGATAGAAATTTTGGAAGGAAACAACTAAACGATTGGTCTCTTTCCCTCTATCCAAGTTTGATGAATGATTTACAAATCAGTATCACTATGTGCTCTCACCTGAGTTTCATTTGGCCTTGCACCCTGCTCTGGCAGAGTTCGCCCATCTTTCAAGATTATGGGTGGCCAAACTTCATTAGGAACGGGTCTATAATGTGTCTGATATTTGGGATTCAATAACTGTACGTTGGTGGTAAAGCTTTGTTTAGTATGGGTTGACAATTTAGTTTTTCTTTTATATTCTTTAGATGTTTATATAGATGTGCTTCATTTTTAGGAGTTCTACGACAGTTACTATATACACATATTGTTCTATGATTAATTTGAATAAATTATATTTAGTATAAAACCTAATCAGTGACTAAGTTTGTTGCATAGTTAGCAAGTCTATGTTTAAAACACGATTTTTTAAAAAAATCTCATATTTTTTGAAATCCGTTAAAAACTCCAAGTTTTTAAAAGATCTTCAAAAAGTCATGTTTTTCTAATGGAACCAATATAAAGCTGTATTTTATCCTTTTTCAAAAAGAACTTCTTCCCTATAACTTTATTTCTTCGTTAACTTAAATATTATTGAATTTTAGTTTAAAGATAAGCACACTAACAGTGGGAGTAAATTAAGAATCTTTATTTAACAAAAAATTCCATTAAAAATTCACTTATAAGTTCCCTTAAAAAAGTGTACAAGAAATACAAGCAATATATTCCCCAAAAATAAGATATCAAAACAATCCTATATCTCAAAATAATAGGTGGAGTTAGAAGAAGAGCAGCCTAATGAAAAATCTTTTTTTTCTCTTTAAACCCAAAGCGTCCTTATAAAGAACAAGAGAGAGATTAATGACATTAAAGATTTAGGCAGCTAAAACTTTAGTGTGAGATTTGAATTTTCTTAATTATTTTGTTTCTTTCCTTATGCATAGAGAAGTTTGATTAATTTTGTACTTTTAGTTTTTATTTTTTTTATTTCATTGATGTATGCAGTAAAACATTTTGGATGGACCATTGTTCTATATATTTGGGCCTTCGTGTTTTTCTTTAGTTGACTGCAATCCTATACTGTGGGTTTTTTTTTGTTTTTCTTTGAACAATAATCCTATACCGTGGTTTACAGTTCTTGTTATTTACTAATGTAATTCATGTGTTTAGTATTTTGTTGTTGTTTCATTTTATGCTCGCAATAAATATGTGAGGTTTTGTGTTGTGACAATAGAGTAAGCTTTGTTGTTGGATTTATTGAAAGTTTAGATAATAAATTGTTAAGTATTGCCCTAATGCCATTAGGTAAGGCCATAAAATTATTGTTCAATGGATTTTAATATATCTACACATTGGCTAACTATGGACGTAATATTGCAAACAGTTTTTGATCTTGGTTTATCTAGCATTCTATGTAGGGTTTTTCCCTGAAACCATCTTGCAAACCCCATTCTCATATTTTTCTTTGCTATAACTATTTTCAATCGGTAGAGGACCAGATCAATCCATCCATTCATCATCATCGTCATCATCATCGAAGCCTTTTCCCAATTATTTGGTGTCCGCTACACGAATCCTGGTCCGCCATTCTGCTCTATCAAGGGCTATATCCTCAGTGAGACCATAAGTGCCCATATATTTTCTCACTACTTTCAGCCATGTCCATTTGGGCATATCCTTTATCTTTTTTTAGTCTTCCACTTGAATCAACTTGTACCTCGTAACAAGTGTCATACTGGGTCTGCGCTGCACATGGCCAGCCCACCTAAGTCTACTTTTTCTCATCTTATAGCCAATTGGAGCCACACCTAAGTTCTCTCGAATGTAATTATATTGAATTCTATCCCTTCTTGTCTTGCCATACATTCATATCAACATCCACATTTCAACTACACTCATCCTATGAGTATGTTGTTTCTTGACTGCCCAACATTCCACCCCATAAAGCAAAGCTGGTCTTACCGCTGTCCTATAGAACTTTACCTCCGATAGATGGAAGAATTTAAGGTAGAGAATCAAAGTTGGTTTTGTGAATGTTAATCAGCTGGACCAACCATTTTACCACAAGTTCTCCTTTCTTCTTCTCATCTATTCTTTTGACAACACATGTTATAGTGGATATAACAATATGGGTGATAATTCTTGCATTCTTTAAAGGTTGCTGATTTGGGTTCCAATGTCTTGTAAGTTGGGATGTGTCTTTGGTGTCCTTTTATCTATCATGTGTGTTATTGATTAGAAATGTTTCATGATTCAAATGAAGTTTTTGTATTAATTAATTGATATTTTGTTCTGTAGGAGCTCAGTACTAATGAAGTTTTGGGGCATTTAAAATATATTGAAGTGGTAAGACTATTTCTTAAGGTATTCTTTTATACATCTTTTATGTTTCTTGGGAACCAAAAATTATTTTGTATTGGTATGTGTTCAGGTCGAGCCTAGATATTGCTTATTTGACATGGAGGATTGGATGTTCTTCAAAGTTGATATTTTAAGATGAATTTTCTACTCTAGTATAAATTTTTATTGTTATCATTTTGTTGTAAATTCTGGCTTATCTTGCCAAAGGGCTATCTCCTTATCATATTTTGGCACATCCCTATACCTAAGTTGTGTACTCTCATTGAAAAGGATTTAGATACTCAGGATAGGACAATTGAAAGGCAAGGACCAAGTCATGTGCGTCAGCTTGAAATTCAGGTTTTAAGCAACATCTACCTATTCCAATTATATTAGTGTCACTGGGTGGGCTTTTTCTTGTATTTGGCAGTGTTCCTTGATTATCAAAGTTTCAAGTATGTCAGCAGGATTAATTGCTCGTGCCATACTTCATTTACCATTACATTGCAAAGCTCTTGACTATATTTTCCCTGGGTTAATCAACATTATATATTTTACATTTTTGCCAAGCAATTCATGAGGAATATTGATAAATTTGACCCAACTCTGTAGCATTTTAGGAAATATGCTCTGACTTGTGCATTTTGCTACCATGATGTGGCCACTAGCTGGGTACTCTTTATAATTCACTGCCACCTGGTATTTCAATCTCTAGTTGAAATCATGGTAATCTAATTTTGAAACGATAAGTTTCTTTCGACAAGAGAAGGAAGGTCAGTTTGTTTGTAAAGATTCCAGGCATTGAACTTGATGACTGGGTATAGAGGACGGTTGAGTCAAATGACTTCTACAAGTCATTTCTAAGGTTAAACTCTGATTGAATGACCCAAATCAAAGCATAAATATAAATAAAATATAAAAAATACACCATCATAAAATAATAAGGGGATAAATTGTGATGATTGTTGAAAGAGGAAACTAATGGACTCTACCCTTACATTATCAAACTCAGAAATATTGCATGGCGGGCATGGGATGGTGGGTAGGGTGTCAAGATGCATAGAGAGGATGTGAATTTATGGAAGTGAGAGGATGTCAACTTGTGGAGTAGGCACATCAGGTTCATGGTAGATGATGGATCTCATGCTTAAGCTTTCGGGATTCGGCTGTGGTAAGAAGATGGTGTCTTGGGGTTGAGATATCTGACCCTGATGAGGATTGTTGCTGATCCATATGCTCTGTGGTCATATTCAGAGCATTCGTGGTAGGTTGGCATGGTATCCCAAGTTCAATATGGATCTCAAGGACGATGGGTGAATTCATGGGGCTTATGAGTGTGTTGCGGGTGATCTATGTTAATTCGAGGAGTATATGGATTAGATCTGTGATAGTTTCTATTGGGCTTGCATGGCATCATCTATAGATACTGGACTAAGACTGGCAGGCCCACCCAATTGGACCGTGAATGGCACCTACAACTGGTTAGTGTGATCATTGAACAAGAAATGCGGTTGGCCAGTCAGAGCAGCTTTGTCCTTCTGAGGGCTTCTACACTGGGTCCACCACCACAGCCTCCACCCCGACTCCCAAAATATCCTCCACCTTGATTTCTGTTGAGAGTAGAGAAAAACTGTTTGTTTCGCTTATAGACATTGCCATTATCTTGTGAGAAGTTTCCTCACACTGAAGAAGAGAGAAAACAATTCCAAGTGATGGTAAAATCTCACCGCCTAGAACATTTTTCCTAATTGATTCATTTTCCCCATTAACTCCTCTTAAAAGATAAAACATCTTCCTTTGTTCTAATCTCACTTTGTTCGTCTGCACAAGATGAGCATTGCATTGGTTGATAATGGCTTATTTTATCTCAAAAACCATGAAGGCAAGCATATTAATCTCCCACTGACAGTCCCCTTGTTTTAAATTGCTTATATGTTCTCCTAGTTCATTAATCTTTGTAATATTTTTCTTTTGGGAGTAAGCCTCAAAAACTGCATTTCACAATTCATAAAAGGTGAACTCAGATTAGGCTGCATAGAATACAATAACCAATTTATAATTCTTATACAATCAGCCTTCCAATATGCATATTTAGGATCCTTGAGATCTGGTTTTTCTATAGGATCTTCAATATATCTCAATTTTTTTGTTCCACCAAGAAATAATGTAACTGACCTGACCGATTCTAAATAATTTTGCCACCAAATTTAACTATGATAATTTGGAGTCGAGAATGCTCTATATTTGATGTTTTTAGAGACATCTTTTATTGTAGTTGAGATCTGGTTACACCCTCAAATCTAATCAATAGTTGAGATTACGTTACACCCTTAGATCTCTTCCAAAAAAAAAAGATTTGCAGATCTGGTTATACCCTCAGATCTAATCACACCTTTTTTCTCTTTTAATGCAGCACTGCCAATGTTTTCTTGACTGGGGTACACAAATCCTAGTCCATCCGTTATCAAGGTTTTTCTATCAAACGCATGATCTACATCAAGAAATTACTAAAAACTTCACCTTGATTAGCACAATTATTGCTGGGAAAAATTAAGGTTTCAGAGCATGATAAGAAGCCCTCACCATCCATGCTGATGTCATCTAATCATGCGGATGATGTCAGCCCTAAATCATACTCCTATACCTTCACACACCTTTTAGAGAGTAGTAAGAGAGAGAAAGAGAAGAAAAGAAGAGAAGAAAAGGGAGAGAGACGTTAGGCAGAGAGAGAGGAAAGAGAAGAGAAAGTAAGTGGTGTGATGATCAAGAAAGACCAGCAACACCCCTATGTTTATATTTATATTTTGACGTAATTACAATACTGCCCATTCTTAATGAAATAGGACACATAAGTCTTAAACGAAATAAAAGACAATAAGTTTTTTATACCCATCATATACAACATACTTTTTTATTTCCAACAATAAGTTTTAAACTTGAAGTTCAATTACTAGAACTTTAGAAAATGGTAAAATGCCCCAAATTGATTAAAAATTGTATCACTTGTTAAGTAGTCACACAAAAATCATTCATAAAAAAGTGTCGTCGTATATACCTTTTCTTTTTTGTAAGAAATTGAAAGGACCAAAATCTTTTCTAATCTTGAAAAATATCAAAAGTTTTGACTTTTCATTTGGCCTTTCTCTATCAAATGCAAGCACAATGTTTTTTTTTTTTTGGTGGTGGGAGGTGGGTGGTGGTGGTGGGGGCGATGTTGTAGAATGCCACCCCAAAAAAACCTTTTCTCCCTTCAAATGACACAAATTGGCCGCCCACCTCCAGGGCCTCACAAAAAAAACAAAACAAAAAATTAGAAGAAAAAAAGAATCAGAGGCACAGAATGGCAAATCCGACCCTTAGACAAGGGCCATTAAGGCACTCCCCTCTTGCCATAAGGTGGGACTACGCACGAGGTAGGAGCTTTTTATAATGGGCACCACTCACCTGCTTAGGACTAATTGGTGTGGCCAGCGACCTTGATTGCCTAGGCGGTCGAGTGCCCAAAATTTTAAAATATTGTCAGAATCAATAATCTCAATTTCTAAGCCTTGTCTAGGGAGCAAGCTGAGGGGTTAGAGAACCCCTTCTTTGAATGAAAATTCCTAGGGCGGTCGCCAACCTTCTCCAGGACAAGGCCTCAGGCCCAGATGGATTCCTGGGGGCCCTTTTCCATCACTTCTAGGACACCTTGGCCCCTTAGTTCTATCATGGAGGATTTATCTAAAGGGTTATGATTTCATTTTTATTGCCCTAGTACCAAAAGTAGGAGCTTCTGAGTTGATAGAATTCAGGTCTATTAGCATTCTTAACTGTGCCACAAGATTTTGTCTAAAGTGCTCGTCTTCACCAGAGTGCCACAAGATTTTGTCTAAAGTGCTTGTCTTCACCAGAGTGCCACAAGATTTTGTCTAAAGTGCTCGTCTTCACCAGGTTCTGAACTATGTCATACCTCCTACCCACAGAGCTTTTGTCAAGGACTGTCAAATCCTGGCTGCAGCTTTTATAGTACATTAATATATCTGAACCAAGGTTTCCACTTCTCTAGATTTGGACCCTTTATTACCCAACCCCAGTGCACAGATGACACTGGTTTCTGCGAAACTAGCCTCAGCAAGCAGATAAGCTTTTGGTGTTCGTCTGATGCTTCCAAGTGCCCATGTGCTTGAAGATTAATACGGCAGAAACCAAACTCATTGGCACAGGTGTTGGAATCAGCCAAGAGTTTTGGGCTTTTGCAATGAGTAATTGCGCAGCAAGTACCTGGGCCTTACACTGTGCCTTAGGAAACAGAGGGAGGCCCAATTGGATGGTATAGTGGAATTATTCAAGTGTAGACTGGTGGATTCTAAATGTAGATCTCTTTCATTGGGGGCAGAATAATCCTCACTAAAGCTGCTCTTTCGAACATTCTGGTGCAATAAATGTCTCTTTTCAGGATGCTTATGATCATTTTCAAGAGGCTAGAGCATTTGATGAAGGACGTTCTATGGTCGAGTGGAGGGGACCACTAGGCCCCTCTTGTAAGATGGGATATAGTTTGCATGCATCAATGATCAGGGGGTTTAGGCATTCGGATCTAAAGAGTAGTAACATCACCGCTCCTCGGAAAACAGTTTTGGCTTTTGCTATCCAAGAAGGTCACCTCTGGCAGCAGATTATCCACCACAAGCAATGCCTAGATGATTCACTTTGGCTGCCAAAGAGCACAGGCAATTGCTGCGCCTATGGGGCATGGAAAGGATATTTACATTCTACTCACCTTTTTTTTTGTGGAACTGTTAACATTGTATTAAGTAAAAGACAATGAATGAAACATCGGCCTCCCGGACGCCTAGGCGGACTTTTTCAAAACACGCCTAGGCGTGGTCAAGGCGGTCTATATTAGGTGGAAAACGCTAGGCACCTTCCTAGGCGGTGTAAAAGGCGGGCACCTAGGCGTCACCTTGAAAATATCGTAATTAATTCGTAATTTGCATGTAACAATAATTATTAATTTATTGCTAAATCAAAAGAGAGTATTATTAATTTATCGAAAATGCTTTTGCATGTGACATTAATTATTAATTTATTAATAAACAAAAAGATAGTATTAATCCATAATTATTAATTTATTGAAAAAACTTTTTGCATGTAACATTAATTATTTATTTATTGAAAAATCGAAAAAATAATATTAATTCGTAATTACTAATTTATCGAAAATGCCTTTTTGCATGTGATAGTAATTATTTATTGGGAACCCAAAAATGATAATTACTAAAATGCTTGAATGTAACATTAATTATTAATTTATTGGAAAACAAAAAAATAGTATTAATTCATAATTACTAATTTATCGAAAATTCCTTTTGCATGTGATA